GAATATGAGTGTGTTCACCCGTCCTTACTCCATGAGCCACTGTTCACTCATCAATTACTCACTCCTCTCGTGGACTCACCTTTTGACTCACTTGAATCACTAGCATTTTTACCTGAATTTTCTTCGCTTCCAAGCCACCCACTGCCACCCATGAACCCACACTCACCCACTGCCACCCATGAACCAACACTCACCCACTGCCACCCATGAACCTACACCCACCCACTGCCACCCATGAACCAACACTCACCCACTGCCACTCATGAACCTATACTCACCCACTGCCACCCATGAACCAACACTCACCCACTGCCACTCATGAACCTACACCCACCCACTGCCACCCATGAACCAACACTCACCCACTGCCACCCATGAACCAACACTCACCCACTGCCACCCATGAACCAACACTCACCCACTGCCACCCATGAACCAACACTCACCCACTGCCACCCATGAACCTACACCCACCCACTGCCACCCATGAACCAACACTCACCCACTGCCACTCATGAACCTATACTCACCCACTGCCACCCATGAACCTACACCCACCCACTGCCACCCACGAACCAACACTCACCCACTGCCACCCATGAACCTATACTCACCCACTGCCACCCATGAACCAACACTCACCCACAGCCACTCATGAACCTATACTCACCCACTGCCACCCATGAACCAGCACCCACCCACTGCCACCCATGAACCAACACTCACCCACTGCCACCCATGAACCCACACTCACCCACTGCCGCCCATGAACCCACACTCACCCACTGCCACCCATGAACCAACACTCACCCACTGCCACCCATGAACCCACACTCACCCACTGCCACCCATGAACCCACACTCACCCACTGCCACCCATGAACCCACACTCACCCACCGCCACCCATGAACCCACACCCACCCACCGCCACCCATGAACCAACACCCACCCACCGCCACCCATGAACCAACACTCACCCACTGCCACCCATGAACCAACACTCACCCACTGCCACCCATGAACCAACACTCACCCACTGCCACTCATGAACCAACACTCACCCACTGCCACCCATGAACCAACACTCACCCACTGCCACTCATGAACCAACACTCACCCACTGCCACCCATGAACCAACACTCACCCACTGCCACCCATGAACCAACACTCACCCACTGCCACCCATGAACCAACACTCACCCACTGCCACCCACTGCCACCCATGAACCAACACTCACCCACTGCCACCCATGAACCAACACTCACCCACTGCCACTCATGAACCAACACTCACCCACTGCCACCCATGAACCAACACTCACCCACTGCCACTCATGAACCAACACTCACCCACTGCCACCCATGAACTAACACTCACCCACTGCCACTCATGAACCAACACTCACCCACTGCCACCCATGAACCAACACTCACCCACTGCCACCCATGAACCAACACTCACCCACTGCCACACATGAACCTATACTCACCCACTGCCACCCATGAACCAACACTCACCCACTGCCACCCATGAACCAACACTCACCCACTGCCACCCATGAACCAACACTCACCCACTGCCGCCCATGAACCAACACTCACCCACTGCCGCCCATGAACCCACACTCACCCACTGCCACCCATGAACTAACACTCACCCACTGCCACCCATGAACCAACACTCACCCACTGCCACCCATGAACCAACACTCACCCACTGCCACTCATGAACCTACACCCACCCACTGCCACCCATGAACCAACACTCACCCACTGCCACCCATGAACCAACACTCACCCACTGCCACCCATGAACCAACACTCACCCACTGCCACCCATGAACCAACACTCACCCACTGCCACCCATGAACCAACACCCACCCACTGCCACCCATGAACCACCCACCCACTGCCAACCAACACTCACCCATTGCCGCCCATGAACCAACACTCATCCACTGCCACCCATGAACCAACACCCACCCACTGCCACCCATGAACCAACACTCACCCACTGCCACCCATGAACCAACACTCACCCACTGCCACCCATGAACCAACACTCATGCCACCCATGAACCACTGCCACCCATGAACCAACACCCACCCACTGCCACCCATGAACCAACACCCACCCACTGCCACCCATGAACCAACACTCACCCACTGCCGCCCATGAACCAACACTCACCCACTGCCGCCCATGAACCTATACTCACCCACTGCCACCCATGAACCAACACTCACCCATTGCCGCCCATGAACCAACACTCACCCACTGCCACCCATGAACCAACACTCACCCACTGCCACCCATGAACCCACACTCACCCACTGCCACCCATGAACCAACACTCACCCATTGCCGCCCATGTACCTATACTCACCCACTGCCGCCACCACAATACCCACGTATTCACTAAGCGACAGTGCTTACGATCTCATTTACTCCGAGCGCTCGTAAAATCAATTTACAACGTAGCTATAGAGCCCATTTACTTAGCAGCCTAGACGAGCTTTAGCTCCGGGGCTCCTGTTTGGTGGTACATGCCCCCCCCCCCCACTATTTCAATAACTATTTAAATGCGTGGTGGTGATGGTGGTTGTGTACTCACCTAATTGTGTCTGCAGGATCGAGCATTGACTCTTGGATCCCGCCTTTCCAGCATCGGTTGTAAACAGCAATGACACGGGTCCTATTTCCCTATCATACCTGGTTTTAAAATTATGAATAGTATTTGCTTCCACAACCTGTTCCTGAAGTGCATTCCATTTTCCCACTACTCTCACGCTAAAAGAAAACTTCCTAACATCTCTGTGACTCATCTGAGTTTCCATCTTCCATCCATGTCCCCTCGTTCTGTTACTATTCCGAGTGAACATTTCGTCTATGTCCACTCTGTCAATCCCCCTGAGTATTTTATACGTTCCTATCATATCCCCCCTCTCCGTTCTTTTTTTTAGTGTCGTAAGGCACAGTTCCTTCAGGCGCTCCTCATACCCCATCCCTCGTAACTCTGGGACGAGTCTCGTTGCAAACTTCTGAACCTTTTCCAGTTACCTTATATGCTTCTTCAGATGGGGACTCCATGACGAGGCTGCATACTCTAAGACTGATCTCACATAGACAATGTAAAGCGCCCTAAATGCCTCCTAATTTAGGTTTCTGAATGATGTTCTAACTTTTGCCAGTGTAGAGTACGCTGCTGTCGTTATCCTATTTATATGGGCTTCAGGAGATAGATTAGGTGTTACGTCCACGCCCAGGTCTCTTTCGCGCGTCGTCAAAGGTAGGCTGTTCCCCTTCATTGTGTACTGTCCATTTGGTCTCCTATTACCTAGTCCTATTTCCGTAACTATACATTTACTCGTGTTGAACTCCAGTAGCCATTTCTCTGACCATCTCTGCAACCTGTTCAGGTCCTCTTGGAGGATCCTGCAATCCTCATCTGTCACAACTCTTCTCATTAACTTTGCGTCATCCGCAAACATCGACATGTAGGACTCTACTCTTGTAAACATGTCGTTAACATATAAGAAACAGAATTGGTCCCAGCACCGATCCTTGAGGTACTCCACTCGTTACTGTTCGCCAGTCCGACTTCTCGCCCCTTACCGTAACTCTTTGGCTCCTTCCTGTTAGGTAGTTCCTTATCCATGCTAGGACCTTTCCTCCCACCCCCGCCTGCCTCTCGAATTTGAATAACAGTCTCATGTGCGGTACTGTATCAAAGGCTTTTTGGCAGTCCAGAAATATGCAGTCTGCCCAACCATCTTTGTCCTGTTTTATCTTCGTTATTTTATCATAGAATTCCAGGTTTGTTAGGCACGATTTCCCTGTCCAGAACCCATGTTGATGTTTGTTCACAAACCTAACCTAACCTAACCTAACCTAACCTAAACTAACCTAAACTAACGAGCGCTCGGAGTAAATGAGGTTGTAAGCACTGTCGCTTAGTGAATACGTGGGTATTGTGGTGGCGGCAGTGGGTGAGTGTAGGTTCATGGGTGGCAGTGGGTGAGTGTTGGTTCATGGGTGGCAGTGGGTGAGTGTTGGTTCATGGGTGGCAGTGGGTGAGTATAGGTTCATGGGTGGCAACCTAACCTAACCTAACGTTGTCTAGGTGTGAAACCACCGAGGGGGGCCTCGTAGCCTGGTGGATAGCGCGCAGGACTCTTAATTCTGTGGCGCGGGCTCGATTCCCGCACGAGGCAGAAACAAATGGGCAAAGTTTCTTTCACCCTGAATGCCCCTGTTACCTAGCAGTAAATAGGTACCTGGGAGTTAGTCAGCTGTCACGGGCTGCTTCCTGGGGGTGGAGGCCTGGTCGAGGACCGGGCCGCGGGGACACTAAAAAAAAAAGCCCCGAAATCATCTCAAGATAACCTCAAGAAGATAACCAGTCGTATTCTAATTATTCTTTCCAGTATTTTACAGGGGATGCTTGTCAGTGATACAGGTCTATAGTTAAGAGCCTCTTCCCTATCACCTTTTTTTAAAAATCGGTACGACATTTGCCCTTTTCCAGCAATTGGGCAATTCTCCCGACATAAGTAACTCATTAAAGATCCTTGCCAGAGGCACGCTGAGGGCCTGTGTGTTGTGGGGTTGGTGATGGTGCTGATGGTGATCGTGGGTTGTAGGTATAGTGATTGTGGTAGGTTGTGGTTGGTTGTGATGGTATTGACCTATCACCGCTTGCTTAAAAATTGACGTTCAGTGAGGTGTAATTGAAGAGGCGATGGGTGCTTAGCTGTGGTTTACTTAACAGTGACTAAGAGAACAGTGGAGGTTAGTTCCCTTTGCCCGGTGTAAACTGTACCTGGAGGTGGTTTCCAAGACCTCCTCTTTCAGTTTACCTGTTGACCGCCCGGCCAGGGTACACGTGTTTCCTGACACCTCTCGCATGTATCTGCGTCTCCAGCGTCCACTTACATCGTCTTGATCTTCTCTCTCATAATTATAAGCAGTTCTTGTTCACCTCTTGTGCTTTCATTTAGTATCTTTTAACTAGCGATATTTCCTCTGGTTCTTCGCAAGAGTTATGCTGCTCGGCCTCCAGGCACTGGTCTTGCTGCTCGGCCTCCGGGCACTGGTCTTGCTGCTCGGCCTCCAGGCACTGGTCCTGCTGCTCGGCCTCCGGGCACTGGTCCTGCTGCTCGGCCTCCAGGCACTGGTCCTGCTGCTCGGCCTCCAGGCACTGGTCCTGCTGCTCGGCCTCCGGGCACTGGTCCTGCTGCTCGGCCTCCGGGCACTGGTCTTGCTGCTCGGCCTCCAGGCACTGGTCCTGCTG